TTACTCTGGGTTCCTCCTCCACTCTGATAGTACTCTGGATTTTAAATTCATACACACTGTTCTTTCCGGGCCTTGTTATTGCTTGCTAATGAAGATAAGAGCTGGCTGCAGCTCTCAATGTTGTTCTCACCAACTCTGCACCCCCTTTTAAAGTTAATTTCAACACCTACCCACATACTGAAAAAAACAGACAACTTTTAATTTAATTGTTTTTTTTAACGGTCTTTGTGGGAAATACGACAAGTATTTAACATTTTTTTTTTCTGAAGCCATGAGGAGCAAACTCCGAGTCTACTGAAGACACAGTGTATTACCGAGTGACCCCCCCCCAGCTCTTAGCACATGTTTGTGGGGGTGACCCTTCCACGCCAAGTCCTGGCCTAGGTGGTAGAGCGTGAAAACAATGAACCAAAACCGGGCAAGAATTCTTCTGATACACATGGGAAAATGGTAAACCAATAAATAAGTAAAATGTTTAGTCTGTGCAAAGGTTTTGAGTGGATAGGGGATAAAAATAGGGAAGGCAGAAGGGTGGGCCTCTTGCTTCTAACTCAGACAGGGATAGAGGAAGGAGCCCATGCCTAGTGAACAAATCCACTACTGTCAGACTCGGGGAAATGCAACGGTCTCTAGAAGGCGATCCTAGTCAGACACTGCAAGTGTCTTCACCCTTTACAAAAGATTTGAAGTATCACTGGGCATGGAGGTTCATGTCTATAATCCCAGCACCAGGAGGTTGAGGCAGGGGGATCACCATAGTTCTAAGCCAGCCTGGGCTACATAGTGAGCTATAGGTTACCTTGGCCTAGAAAGTTAACTGGTCTACAAACAAAGTAAATAAATAATTAAAAGATGAGTTAAGATTCCCATTTAAAAACTGAAATACAATTTGTTAAACTCCAGTTAGTTATGGTCTCATATGATAATGCTTTAGCATTTAAAATTAATGCTTGTAGTGTTCTGAAAATTTGCACAAACAGGTAAGGCCATTCAGTTGGGAGTGGGCAGAAGTAAAGTCTGGGGATAACCAACGAAATGAATCGGTTAGAAATCTTCTCTTTTACACTTGACAAAAACGCGGACTGAAGAAGCCAAATTAAATCCATATCCATCCTGGTTATATGTAATAGAAAAGGTTTCCCTTAAGGTTAAATTTGTTGTCTAGGACTTTAAGACTAGTTAATGGTTTAAGGCAGCGTCCTGATATTTTTTAGGGTATAGTGGACTTGCTTCAGTAGTGTCTCCGATGGTAAATCAGGGACCAGCCTCTCCATCTAATGGCTTCACCTCACTAAAGAGACAATTCAGTCTCTATTAAGGATCTAGTCTAACGTGGGACTTAGTAATCTCCTACACTGTCTGCAGGATGGAGGACAGAGGGACAGGAAGGGTCCAGAATCCTTCAGGGAAGCCCTGGGCTTTGTCTTGGAGGACAAGCAAGGACTCACATACATGGGAGGCCACTGAGCACTGAGTCTTCAGTGCTTGTTTTGATAACCCCAAGCTTCTTTTAGCTACAGTTGTGTGGTCACAGCACCCCCTCCTTGCCAGGAAGGCAGAAGTAAACCTGATGGCTTCCTTCCTTCTAAATCGTGGGTCTGCCCCAGATCACCCAGGTTCCCTCTCATACTGCCCCACCTAATTCTGAGTCTTAGCTAAGATACGAATTCTGCAATTTAGGGTACCCGAAATCTCAAGAGACTCATGGGATATTGGCCACGATAGCAGAACATGGAGAAACAGTTCTGGGACTGTAGGTGATTGCCGAGGAAAATACTACAGGCACAAAGAAATAAATGCGCCTTTCAGAGAAAATGTTGTCCTGAATATTGATAAATGCCGAAAGCTTATCATTGTTCAAAATTAAAACTGAACAGGCTGTTCTATTTGCCAAGTCTGAGAAGTCTACATTTCTGAGGAGGCAAGGCTGGCAATATCGGGTACCGAGTTTGCTTTGGTTTTGGCTGTTTAGATGGGTAAGAGGGAGACAAAGGGCAAAAACCTGGAAATGCGTTGTTTTCTTTTGAAACAAAAACCATGAGGGAACCTCTTTCCTTTTGATTTCCCCGGGTTTCTGTGTGTGTCCTTGTATTTTGTGGACAAAGAGATTGATACTAAGAAAAACTGTAGAAAGTGACACCAATTACAATATTAAATTAACAATGAGAAAACAAGTGTTATAAAAATGTGATCAGTTTAAAAATAACAACCGTATTATGTGTAGGCGAGCTGTTTCCTACTTACACTTTGCCCCCACCCCCCACCCCCCCACCAGGGCCATACAGTCTAATAATCTCGCTTGTTCCCATACCATCTTTATCCCTTCCAAGAGCCATGCATGATACCAGAGGGACCTAAGAAAACACGTTTCCACTTGGACAAGTTAAATAACCAAAGTCTAGAGGGAAGCCACGGCAGATTGAGGATCCCATCGCCAAAGAGCGTCAGTCCTGAGGGCTCAACAGCGTTGGTCTGTGTGTTAAATAATATGTTCGGGTTATCATATTTAGCTCTTATAAGCACCATAGAAACGCCTTCGTTATTCAGGTGTGAGATGAGCAAGACAGGGAGAATTATGACTCTGGCCTAGGCAAGAGGTCACATAGCTAAAGGGTAGAGGTGGTGGCTGAAACCCCAGCTACTCTGGCTGAGACCCTTACACTCAGCTATGACACCCTGCTTCTGTCAGGGAAGATTAATTTACATGACCAAACATATTCACCAATGTAAACACTCAGAGTCCCTAGCTCCTATGGTGGGTCAGTCAGTTAATCACAAGGCTACTTGGACAGAGTTAGTGGAAAGTTGATAAGCCATTGCTGTCATCCACGCCAGTTTCAGTATGAAAGGAACTAACTGTGGACTGGGACTGCACCTTCTCACAGCAAGTCCATTACTATCATCACAAAACAATCGGGCTTCGGTTAGTTTTGAAATATTAATTTTAAAAGCACAATACCAGGGTCTACTATTGAAGTGAATATTCACTGCCCTATAGGAGGCTTTGAGTTTGTGGCTGGAGTTCCTCAAGAAAAGAAGAGGAGGCCCAAAAAAGCAGGACAGGGTGGATGAGAAGGAGGAAGAGAGAGAGAGAGAGAGAGAGAGAGAGAGAGAGAGAGAGAGAGAAGAGAGAGAGAGAGAGAGAGAGGTGGAAGCCCTCCTCATTCACTGTAAGCCACAAAGTGAAGCAAAGTTCCCTTGCTAGCCAGGCCTTGAGAGACATATGTCCACTTTGGTCATGCTGTCTAGAAAGTATACCTAGTATTTACAGGCTGTATATTTTCCTTCATTTTGTATGGGATTATCAACCATGGCATCTCAGAAGCCCACCTTCCTTTGGCCATCCTAGATTCCAGTTTCCCCTGTTTATCAAAGAGGGGGGATTAAGCTTTCTGCTTTGGTATCATGCTTCCCAAAACGGCCTTCCTTATGACACAAAGGCCTGAGGAAAAGTAAGGCTGTTTTTCCCCAAAGTTCCAGGATAAAGTTCTACAGGTTCCAGCCGGAGAGCTCAGGCCTCCACAAACCACTGAGATGGGGATTGGAACGGTGTGGATACTGTCTTTCCTCCCCACTGTTAGCCCAGGGGTCCTTAGCAAATCTGTTTTGCAAGCTCACTATTGAGAACATCACCAAATCCTTTTAGAGTCTCTCCCGAATCCCCTCCTCCTCCCCCACCACTAAACCACACAGGAGCATTTGAAATAAACCCAGCTTAATGCAAAAACAAAAGGACATCCTCACTACTTCAGAAAGGTGGCAGTATTGCCTTGCGGTTTTGAGCAAGCTACCAAACTTGTGAGGTCTCTGATTAACAGACTAACCACCTCTCCTCGACATGGAAAGGAAAGGGCGGATGAAACCCATGGCTAACACTGGTTGCTAGTGGCTAGGAGATATTCCCCCAGAGCTGCAGGGGCACTGTGGCTTGTGGCCACTTAAGCTCTTGAGTCTTCAACTTGTCCCACTGTATAGAGCCATAGAAAATCTATAGTGGGTCCCGTAGACAGCCAAAGACCAGGAGCAGCTAAGGCAGTTACAGAGGCTCCTGATGGCCCATCACTCACTGTGCTCAGTTTGGAACCAGCCATCTCAAGTCAAACAATCGTGTAGCCCATGTAGAAGGGCCAAGGGAAATAATCGAGAACAGGCGACACCAGCATCCAGCCGACACCTGTTACCCCGAAGGCTTACACCAGAGTTCTCATCCAAAGGCTCCTTCTCAGAAGTTGTGTTCCACCATCAATGAATGGTCTGTTACCACCGTTATCAAAGCAACAACATGCAAAGCTAGGCGGCCCTGCCCAGGATGCTGATGGGAACCCACACACCCCTGCACCTCCTGTAGGCCTCCATACAAACCCTTTCCTGCTACTCACCTCTCTTGAGTGTGCCTCCAGAAGTTTCTCTGTGTGCCACTAACACAACAATTTTAGGGGAAACTGTCCATTTATAAATATCAGATAGTTTGGGAAAAAAAATATTTGTGGCACTGGGTTTTTTTTTTCCCCCCACGGTGATGTCATTTTAAATTCTTAGTGTGCTCCAAATTAGCTATTTTTACTTCCTCCGATTGACTTTTTTGGGAAATACATTTGTTTGGATTAGCTACATGTTACGTGACCCCTGGACTTGATATACTGTTCTAGGTTCATCCCCTCAGCAGTTGTAGCTGATAACGCACCCACTCGCTAACCTCAGATCCCGCTTTATCCCGTCTCAACACTGGTCGCTTTGGAGAGTCCCCTCAAATTTTTCTATTTACCGATAGAGGAGAAATATAGAAAAAATAAAGACATTGGATTATTCATAAACAAAACTCACATTCAACACAGGTGAAAGGGAAGGCATTTGTAGGCATTCAGTCAAACACAGTTGTTCACTTTGGGGGAACAGAGCAGAGGCCGCCAGCGCAGGCCCTGGCATTCATTGGAAAGCAGTTGAGTGGAGAGTGGCAGAAACGAAAAGTTGAAGGAGGAGTGCTGAACGCCTTACTCTACCTGATCGGAACTTCCTTCTAATCAGCAAAGAGTGCTCGGACCCCAGGAGTGTCATGGTGAATCTCAGCAAGCCGCTGGTCGCTGGCCAGACGCCCCCTGCTTTTCACCAGAAACTGGCTCCCGGGAGCCCAGAGGACAGCAGCTAACAACCCAGAATTCATCCAACTCTCGGGGAGCTCCCTTGGGCAGGAGGACGCACAGTGGCCGCCAGTGTCCCCGGAAAACTGGCGCCTCCCCCCTCGCCGCGCGCGAGGCTAATTAACTCCCAGCAGGCAGGACCCTCCTCCTCTCAGGGTGGCAAGGAGCAACCGCATCCTAGGCGTTCCTGGCTGATGTCATAGGCTGCCAGCGGTCGCGGAGTATCGCCACCACGCCTTTATGAAGGTCCCAAGTTTGCTATCTGATCCTCTTTACTACTGACAGGAGATCAGCCAATCAGGAGCGGCTAGCGGGGCCTGGGGACCCGGCGAGGCCCCGGGAGTCTCAGCAGCCCGCTCACTCTTAACTCTTTGCAGAAGATTAAGCAGCGGCTTCTGGCCGGAGCGGGAGTCTGCACAGACACCGCTAAATCGGCTGCCCGGAGGCTGCAGGTGGCGCCCAGCGGCGTTAGGACCGTACCCCGCGGCGCTGGCTGTGCGCCACCGGGGTGTTTCCAGCCTGCTGCAGGTCTCAGGAAGCGACACCTTCAGAACCCGCTGGTGCCCTGGCCAAGAAGCCGGGGTTGCAACGCCCAGGAGGGCCGACTTTCTGCATCGGAGCAGTGGTGCATCAAGGAGACCCAGTATCTCATAGCAGCTATAGCCGCCAGAGACGAATGTCCCAGGAGGTGGCGGAAAGCCTTTCGCTGTGGTTGGATGCTCTCTTTGGGGACACAAGAAACTTTGTGTCTGTGGACTGAGCGGAGGGGGAAGGTGTAAGAGAGTGGCCTACGGGGTTCTAAACAGGGTGGGCCTTGGGGACATAAGCAAGCCAGGTTGGAAAGGTTCACCCCCCCCAACCCCATCCTTTTCTTAGTGGGAAATTCACCGTGCACCCAAAGCGGCGCTGAGGCACGCTTCTAGGGGTTCCTGGGGTGACAAGGGTCCCACGTGCATCATTAAGCACAACAAATATTTGGTCTAAGACGAAGACATAAATAAAAACAAATCAAACTGTATACACACAACACACAATTTGTCATTATTGCAACCTTCTGCGCACGTGGGCCCCCAGCTACCATTCCTTATGTCTCTGCTTTTGTCTCAAAACTCTGAATACTTGAAAGATCATCCAAGGACAGGTGGAAGCCTAAAGTGACGATAGCTCTTGGGGCTAATCTATGTGCTGACCCGGGCTTCTGCCTCCAGCGTCTGTTGGTGAACACATCCGAGGCTGACTAGACCTTCCTTTTCCTCACTCTCTGGGCTGCACCCGTGTTGGTGTGAGTTACATTTTCTGGATAGGCAACCTTCTTAATAGGGGTGGAGGTGGAGCCATCCTACCCAACTTCCTCTTGCGAATAGGGTTGGGCAGCCCAGGCCTGTGACTGGCTGCCTCCGGAAGCTCAGCGGTGGCTTGCAGCATTCCACAGGCAGTGCTGGACTGGGCTGTTCCTGTGGGAACAAAACCCCACCGCATTAATGGCTTACATCAAGCAAGATTCATTACGGTGCAGGTTTGAAGGCTGGGAGTTAGAAATGGGCCACACTGGGTTAAAATCAAGGTGTTGGCAGAGCTGAGCTCCCTCCTGGAAGCGCATGAAGAGAATCCATTTCCTTTCCCACTCCAGCTACTAGAGGCCACCCATGTTCCTTGGCTTCTGTCCTGTTCTTCCATCTTCCCAAACAGAAATTGTGGGTCAGATTCTTGTTACATCTTATCAGTCTAGCGCCTCCCTCCCCACCTTCTGCATCTCTCTTTGAGTTAACCTTACTTTAAGGAAAAGCTCTGTCAGGCTAACGGGTTATGAACCTTAATTCCCACTTGCTATGTAACGTAACAGAATCAATGCTGCCTGAGATTAGACCATGAAGGGGAGGGTGTGATATTGTGGGTCACATAGCATGAGTGGCTGTTTTCCTTCCCAGCTTCTCTTTGTTAGAGCTAAACCCAACAGTACAGGTCTTCGATGAAAGGAAATAAAAGAGAGGAAGATTTGGGAGGGGCAGCTCAGGTGTCTAGAAGAGCCCCTAAGCAGGTTTGAGATGCATGCGGCAGGGGCTACTCCAGAGAACGGAGGTAGTAGGATAAGGAACATTATTAAACAATAATGCTTATAAAATTATAAACCATTATAATCCTGTGGAGAAAGCTATTCTGTGCAACATTTGAAAAGAAAGAACTGAAGAAAAGAAACGAGCAGATCTTTACAGTGAGGGTAGACAGGCCGAGAGGGTGCCCCACAGCTGCTTAACGGGGAATTCTTGTTTAGTGGGAGTTGTGATGAAATCGAGTGAAGGAGCCAGCCCAGGGGTCTTCCTCACCCAGAGGGAGGAAGTATGTTTGAGTTTGTGCTTGGGGACGGAGCATGGGCCCTTTTTGTTTTCTTTTATGTCTGCCCTTTAATGAGAGGAGGTCTCCTGAATTAGTGCAGGCTACCCTGGAATTCTTTCAGTTTTCCTCTCAGTTTATTAATTAACTTCTAAAATAATACTTTTATTATTTCTTCAAGAATTTCATATATTGTACTTTAATCATATTTGATCATATTCATACTCCCTCCCCCAAGACAACCCAGATCAGCTTTCTCCACCCTCGTCACTTCCCTACCCATCCAACTTTGAGTTGTCCTTGTGGTCACCTCCTCTTTTTCCTTCTTTCCCTCCTCCTCCCCCTCCTTTTTTTTTTTCTTTATTTAAACACATTGTCTTTGGTTTGTGCTGCCTAACTGCTCTCAGGAGTAGGGCATGCTCAGGTTGACCACAGTCCTGCCTCAGCCTCCAGAGTGCTGGGATTAAAAGTATGTATCACCACACTCCCTTTCTTAGTTTCTTTTCCTTCCCTTCTTCCTGCCTCTCTGTCTCTTGGCCTCCCCCCCCCAACAACCCCATTTTGAGTTGGGAAATCCTGATAACCATAACCCTCTTCAGTTTTTCCCATCAGAGTATGGAGCAGCTGTCCTTTGCCCTCTGGGATTTCTAGCCCTTATGGCTTGGGATATCTATGGGTATAAAAATGTGCATTATGGAGACTCATCCTTTGCCCTCTGTGGTCAAATATTTTTATGACTTTTTGGGTGGAATTTGGACAGACTGTTCCCCGGGAGAATGGAATCTCGGACAGCTGCTGCCAGAGCAGACTGTAGCAAAGCAGCCATGGCTGCCACTGCACTCTGACTCCTCCGCAGTGATTCTTTGGGACCCGCCCCCTCTCACGGGGCATTATTTTGTTTTGATTTATTTTACTTTGTTGTTTGTTAGTCATTTCTTTTACTATGTCACAAATTATAGTCACACGGCACGTAAGGATGGCTCAATCTACCGTGGACTAAGGGAGCCCACATTCAAGGATGCCCTCTTAGGATTGTATGTTCTTATATAGGGATGAAAAGAAGACATTCTAGCTAAAAGATAGACTTACCAATCTCTGTTGCTAAGCTGAGAGTGGTGGTGCTTGCCTGTAACCTCAGTGCGAGGGAGAGAGAGGCAAGAGGACCAGGAATTCACTGTCATCCTCAGCTAGGGAGGGAGTTCCAGACAAAGGCTCTAGGAGATCCTGCCTAAAAGTTAAAACAAAACAAGGAGAAAGCCCGAACAACAACAACAACAACAACAACAACAATTCCTTCCCCTCTGTCCTTTGCTGATGCTTTTCCCCAGAGGTTGCTGAATAATGCACTGCTCATAGGTCTGTGGTGACACGGGTAGAGATGGGAAAAACTAGGAAAGGGAAGAAAGCCTCATCTTTAGCAAATGATGTACTGTAATCATTCTAGCGCCACTTGCCCTCTCCACCATTCCAGCAGCAGCAGGTGGTGGTCACAGGAAGCAGTGATCTCCTCCAGCCTCCCCTTTCCTTTTACAGATCTGATGACAAGCCATCAGAGGATCATTTGCTCTTCCTTCAGGCACTCTGAATACGCACTCCAGGATCTGCCTGAGTCATGGAGCAAGCACCGGGTCCAGCAGATTTGCAAACTCAAATGAGCTGAGTGGGAGGAAGGTAAGAAACAAAATGTAGGTTAGTAAACGTTAACATACTGCCAGGGAAGCAGCAGAGAGCTTGCCCAGCCCCAAGGGTCTGCGGCCATTTGGGAGGAAATATAGATCTTCCCGGCCATGTTTGACAACTGTTCTGAGAATTGGAAATCCAAGGGATAAAACACACTGGGTTTTGTAAACACAAACAATTAGCAGCAGCAGTAATGAAATACACCCTACTCTATGACTGCTCAGGCTGCGGGGAAGTGCAGGTTGTTCAAAAAGTGGGTAGAAAGTTGTAAGTACGATACTTAGTGTCAGAGCAGCTGCCTCCATGGGAAGATACTGTTACTATAAGTTCGCTGCTGACAGCTGCGTGGGAGCCACAGTCTCTTCACTGAGGTCCTGTCAGTGAAGCAGGGGTGTCCAGGTACAAATACTCGCCATCTGTCTCCTCTTCCCAATCTAGGATGCTCTCAGCTGTCCGCTTCTCTCAGCACCCCTGGGACCCGGGCAGAGGGAGGTGGGTACAGTCTCTGCTGCATTAACTTCCGATCAAAAGAACATGAAGACACACTCATTGTGACATCAGGCTGAGTGGCCGTTTCATGCCACTATTAGCGGCCTGGGGAATGCAATTTAATTTCTCACCTCTGAGAAACCACTCAAACTCTAGCTGGACAGGGGAAATAGGTTGAGTCACTGAAGGAATGCAGCCTCAGTCACTAGCTTATTTCAATTCCAGAAATATTTATGCTGCACCAACTGTGTTCCAGCAGCAAAGGGAATATAAAGATGGAACAGATAGGGGCCGGAACCGTGAGCTGAGACTACAATGGTGGGTCTCCCACAGGCTCCCAACAAACCTGAATCTGGGGTCACTCTGTGTTAGTTAATGTCATGATGTCTCAGGTGGAACTCAAGTCAGGCACACCTAATAGAACCTGCTCTCTTTCATGAAATTGAATATAAAAGGGCCTTTGCCCATTTTAAACAAAGACTTCAATTTAAACAAATGGTAAAATAAAATGTAGTTTCAGTTGAAAGAATCTGTCACAAACCTCTCTTTCCCTGCCTGCCAGAAACACTTCTCACCCTGCCTCCCTCCAGAAAGGGCAACAATGTGAAGGCAAGAGGATGATATTATAGGGTTGAGAGGTCATGGGCCCTGTATATTCTCCACGTTGTCCTTCAGTGTCCTTGCTAGTACTTTAAGAAGTGGAGACCACACACCAGCATAGACACTCCTGGCAGCTTTTGAATAAAGCCCATCCCTCTTTCCAGCCCCTTCTTGTTTGGTTGCAGAGCACGGAGGTTTTGTTCAAGCTACTTGAAGTTGCAGCTCTCCAATGGGTGTGTCCTCCCGGTCCAGAGTGGGTCTAGGAAGACTCATTGCCTAACTCCGTTTGTCCCAGAGCATGTGGAAGTTGGAAAAGCCTAGGACAGTGATTAAGGCACTGTCAGTTAAGCATGAGTTTTATTCCACAACATATTTAGCTTTTTGTTTGTTTGTTTCTAGAAAACCAAGATTAGCTCTTTGGTTTGGTTGACTTTTTGAGTG